CAATGCGATTAAGCGAAATCGCCATTTGCCCGATTTGAGCTTCCAAATTCTTCTGTTGGGCCGCTAAACTTTGATTCTGGGTTACCAAATTCTGGATATTCGTCCTCGTCTCTTGYTGAAATTGTTGAGTGTTARTAGCAAGAGATTTGACAATATCTTCTAAAGACATACCTGTACTRCTCGAGGCTWGGTTGTTTGGCTGAAACGGTGCTCTCTGTTGGAATGGCTGCTGGAATTGCCTTTGCTGGAATTGTTGCGGAGGTCTTTGGGCACCAAAGCTTTGGTTATAAAACCTTTGTTGTGGTTGTTGGCCTGGAAAGCCTCCGATGGCGTTGACATCTTCGGGTGCAACCAAAACATCTTCTTGTAGTTGCGGACACGCATCCGTCGGATGGCTCGTCCCATTGCATATACCGCATGCCTTAACCTGCTYWTTACCCACAACTAATTGTTTAACGAGGTTAGTCAAATCAAATAACCTACTCTCAATGGTACTGGTATTAACCTCGTTAATCTTGTAGGGCTCTCTTCTTAAATCACCTCGCACACTAAAATGTTGAGAGTTCTCAGCCATAGTGGTGATCARAGCCCTYACTTGAGTTGGGGTTTTATTAAAAATTGCCCCTCCACTAGCAGCATCAATCATCTTCCTTTCCATAGGAAGAAGGCCCTCATAAAAATACTGCAACAAAAGTTGCTCGGAAATTCCGTGTTGCGGGCAACTAACGCAGAGATGTTTGAACCTTTCCCAATATTCATGGAGGGTTTCCACATCTCTTTGTTTTATACTGCAAATTTCCCTACGAAGTGTGTGTGGCGGCTCGGGAGGCAGGAAAGAATTTATCTAAAAATAACCGCGCCATTTGGTTCCAAGTCGTTACCGAACCGGGCGGTAACGAGTAGAGCCAATCTTTAGCCCGATCTTTTAAAGAAAAAGGGAATGCCTTTAACTTTATAAGATCATCCGTAACCTCGTTGGGTTTCATGCTTAAACACACCACATGGAATTCCTTGAGGTGTTTGTTCGGGTCCTCATTCTCCAAACCGTGGTAGGAGGGTAATAAGTGGACCAAACCAGTTTTTAGAACAAAATTGGCGTTACCTTGCGGGTACCTAATACAGATAGGAACCTGGGCAACGTCATGTGTCGCCAACTCTCGTAGCGTTCGCTCGTCATGCTCGGCAGCAATCGCGTCTGCCTTTTCTTCGTGTCCTTCTTCGTACCTTTCTTCCTCTTCGTCCGAATCGCTCGATAGGTAAATATCTTGCCAGATATTTAACCCCGGTGACGAAGGTCCCTCGCCGAACTTCTTTCGAAACTTGGCTTGTTTCCTTAGTCGTTTCGTGGTTCGTTCGATTTCTAGATTTATTGGTAAAGGTGAACCTGTACGTGACGATCTGGCATAAACAGTTAGTAATACCGAGTCCCCGGCAACGGCGCCAAAAATTTGACGGATGCCGAGTCCACCAAATAATAAATTCCAACTAACGACTAATTACAACCAAAATTGTAGTAGTGTAAGTCGGGTCGAATCCACAGAGACTCGGTCTAACGGTATACGACTAGCGAATCAAGCACGCGATGGAAGCGTAAAAATACTAATAATCACAAAAAGGGGGGGGGGGGGTTTGAATTTGATTAATTACTCTAAAAATGCAATAATATAAACTAAAACAATTGATTAAAATCCCAACATCGATTTAATACCGGTTAAGATGTTAGTGCCTATCATCGATTCCAAAAATGTAAACGGAAAGAACAAGCCCGAATTGGCTTTAATCGTTAACAAGCTCTAACGACCCGCATTTTCCAAAGAAAATTGTTGATTAAAATAAGCTCTCTAATCAACCCTTAACCACAAATACAAGTTTAAATAAGCTCTTAAACTCATAGGTGCGACTAGCTTTACCGGACTAGAAAAATTACCAATTCAAAGCCATAAGCTCATAAGCTCGGCTTATCGAGGCTCTAATCGCAAGATTTCAAATATTCAATCCGGAAACCTTATCGAAACCAAATGAATACTATTGTTACTCTATCAAAACTCTAAGACAATTACGTATCTAAG